GTTAAAATATAACTTGCTAGTGAATAAAAAGGGTGCAGTAAGTAATTCGCTATTATATGCAGATATGGATTGATGCGAAGCAGTTGATGTGTACACAAATAAATCTTACAACGAAAAAATGTGCGCAATCTTATGGCCGCGATCTAATGTAAATTTTACTCTTGTGCAAAAAGAAGGAAAAATGCAAGTAACATTTGGGAATTCGCTCGTATGGGAGAAATAAAATAAGGTTTTAAGTGGGAATAAGTGCTTCCAAAACAATTCACAAAAAATGTGAGTTTGATGGTCAATTTTCGGGTTTCTTTAAATGAGATATTAAGCTAAAGATGAAGTACCTGATTTTGAAAAAAACAACTGCCTAGCAGAGGGCATTACCTTTGCCTTGAGGATGTCCCTTTCCTTGAGAACTTCGGCCCTTTTTGTCTCGAGCTCTTTCGGAATCGGAGTACCTTGATAAGTTTCGGTCAAGCTGTCGATCATGTTTGTTTTCATAAGAACGTGACGATGCATTTCCACAAGTGACGCATCATCATAAATCTGAAAGAACTTCCAGTTGTTTTTCATCCCAAAAAGGCTTGGCGAACTTTACCTTCCTTGGTTCGATAAACTCCAATAAAGGAATTATCAGATGTAAATCAAAGAAAGGGGCCATACGCTTTGTTAGATCGTACTCCGCCATTCTGACTACCTTTAATATATGATACAATACGGCTTGGTTACCAAGATGAACGAGATTACAGAAAACGAACATTCGATTGAATTATGGAGACTAATGTCAAATATGGGCTTAAAAAGGGGAATGAGAAACATGAAATAAATGTGGCGCTACTCTTTAGTTTTAACTGATAATAAGTTCTGAAAATAAAGAGAAGTAGACATACTGAGGAATTTACAATTGAAATATTAAAGGCAAAATTTATGCAATAGTTTAAAGGAGTAGTACTATTAGAGCGCATGGTGACTATAGGTCAGTTCTTTCCACTAGTAACGAGAGGGTTAGCAGGGGTTAGGCAGTTTCCAAGCTAGATATTTCACCGAGAAACTTCTGGATAAGCTTCAGAGATCTTCTAAAAGACGAGACTGAGATCTTCTAAAAGACGAAGATTTGGCCTCAAAATATGGCAATACATGTGGTAGTTATATCATCGTATGTGAGATCTAACAACAGCAACTCGGTTCGCGCAACGAAAAGTCAGCGTATGAAAAAAGCACTTTTTGCAAAGAATGTTGAAGGACTGGAAATTCGTAGTCTGCAAAAAAGTTTCTTTGTTCTCCTTGCAGGCTAAGATTTTCTAGTCCTAATGTAGTTGTTATTGTACCTCATTTGAAGATGTAGAAGTAAAATTAATTTGGGTTTGCGTTGCCAGTAGGTTGACTAGTCTGAAACGTTTTAGCGGCAGATTTTAAGCATACGATTGGCTGAGATAATCTCCACCGACTCTGCGCACCTAATAAATTAGTGTATGACCTAGAAGCAAATATTTCTTTCTAACCAAACTCTTAAAAAATTTCCTTTTGGAAACGGCCATGTTATTCTATTATAAAACGTGTAGCGCCTGGGAAAAGGTCAGCTGTCAAATTGTAGCATAGAAAAGTTATGCTGCCATTGTTTTATACGCATTGGAGTTTACAATGCCAAAACTCTGCTACATCTTTCCTTTTGTGTAGCTGTTGGAAATCATTTTAGAGAGTTGTAGAACTAGACGCCCCCTAGCTAAAAAGTTGTAATTGTCTACTATAGTATGAAAAATGAATACTTCGATTCTTTCTTTACAGTATGGTTTCGAGCATATATTATACTATAATATCTAATTGTGCGCTACACTCATGTATTTAAGGCCCATGGGCACCTTGTATTATTATTAGACGTCCGCTCTTCAACTTACTAGCTTCAGTATTCATCTCTGTACTTTCAATAATAGTTCACTTTGTTCAAATCTTTAATGAAAACTAATGTAAATGCTCAGGATTTTTGAAGTATCTTAGGAACATTTGCTATAATGGTAGTGCCCTCTACACAGCTCTGAGTTTAACAAATTCTCAAATCTAAAAGAATGAAAACACGGGT